GATAATTGCCATTTAGCTGTGAGTCTCCAGCAAAAAATTCAATACAAGAGAATGTGTGGATATTTTGCATTATATATCTGGAATATATGTTTGTCCCTTGGTATTCACGGGGGATTGGTTCAGGACATTGGTACAGGCAAGATGCAGAGCATTTTCATGACCACAAGGCTCTCTCACAAGCCCTTATAGAGCACCCTCACTTCCCTCCCACATTCCTCCTCCTTAACCCCTGGAAATCACAAATACTTTCTCAATTTCTATAATTTTGGCATTTCAAGAATGTCATATAAATGGGATTATATAGTATTTAACCTTTTGGGATTGACTTTTTTTCACTTAGCATAATTCTGTAAGGATTCTTCCAGGTCAGTGTGTATATCAATAGTTTGTTCTTATTTATTGCTGAATAGAATTCCACCATGTAGACATACGACAGTCTAACTGTTCATCCATTGAAGGACAGCTGGGTTGTTTCCAGTTTCTGGCTACTACAAATCACACTGCTATGAACATTTGTGTACAGGTTTTTATATAAACATGTTTTTATTTTGTGGGGATAAATGTCCAGAAGTACAATTGCTGGATTGTATGGTAGTTGCATATTTAGTTTGTTTTAAAGAAACTTTCAAACTATTTTTCCAGAGTGGCTGTATCATTTTACTTTTACACTTGCAGTGTATGAGCGATCCAGTTTATCCGTGTCCTTGCCAGTCTTTGGCGTTTTCACTTTCGTAATAATGTTTATCATCGGTTTCTTCCTAGCTTCCCAAACATAGTCTGTCCTCAGATTCCTTCTTCACTCAATCACAATACACCACCAGGAAAAACCTACAGTCCCAATAGATTGCCAGGTCACAGCTATTACTCAGAGCTCAGTGACACAGAATGCTACCCCCAGTCTTCTCCTTTTGGTACCTTGATGTAGGTATAGAGTTATCCTTCTCAAACATGCAAAACACACCACGCTGGGAAAGATAGTAATGAATGGCTTAATAATATGACTAATGGGAGAGAACAAAGGGGCCAACCCAACAAGATAAAACTTAACAAAAACAAAGCCATCCATTCAGTAAACACAGAGCCAACACAGATCACCTTCAAACTCTATGCTATGTGCTGAGGACATAGACTTATGCAAGTTTGGGTCACTGTCCATTTGACTTCATAGTCTAGAAAGGAGACTTTGAAGTAAGTATAAAATAAGTATGTGTAAATCTGTGTTAGGAATATGTCTGTTGATTTAAAATACTATATGACTTTTTTTTTTTTTCAATCAACATTGAAAAACTTTTGAAGAGTTTGAAGCTGGGGAGTGATTCTCATATTTTAGGAAACACATTTTGTGTTGTGTGGCTGATAGATTGGAAGGGAATCTTTGGGAATCCAGAGGCCACTTGGGAGATTAACACAGTAGTCCTGTGACTAATGACAAAATGCTAAGAAGAACACTCTCCTATTCCCCGAATTTTAAAGGAATTTTATCAAAGAAGAACATTATCAATAGTGATAATGAAGAATGTACATTGATAGATGTGAAAAAGGTTTATAATGAGCAGGGCTTGCTTACCAATCAGAAGGGAAAGTTGATGAGAGGAAGTACTTAGGATGATCCTCAAGTTTCTTTTTTTTTAAGAAGTCAAATATTTAGTATTAGGAATTAAGATCTATATTTGGCATGGAGACATTTATATGGGTAGTAATTCTGCTACAGTGTGTAACTTATATCAGAAGGGAAAGTTGATGAGAGGAAGTACTTAGGATGATCCTCAAGTTTCTTTTTTTTTAAGAAGTCAAATATTTAGTATTAGGAATTATGATCTATATTTGGCATGGAGACATTTATATGGGTAGTAATTCTGCTACAGTGTGTAACTTATATATACTACATATCACTTAAAATATTTGTAGGCCAATTATGAACTTTACATCCCATTTTCAATATACTTGAAGTGTACCAGTATTTTTTATTATTATTTTCTCAACATAGACAGGAAGGAAAACGTCATGATTTGATTTTAAAGTCAACTGGTAAGGAACAAATTTAACACAAAGATCAACATCCTTAATGAAAAAAGAACTCTCAAAAATTAATTAGCAAAATCTAAGCAGAAACTTCATGAAGGACGTGAGCAGATAAGTTACACATCCCGTAGAAATACACTCCAAGACATTGCTGCAGGGCATGGGGAATGTGGGCTAAGGCTCTGAATACCCATCTCAGGACCCCAGAGGCTTCTGGCTCCAGCGCTCCATTGCCAGCCTGATTGTGGTAGGCAGTGGGTGGGGCCGAGGTCCACTGCCTGCCATCATCGCAGGACCCCCCTGGCTTCTTGATTCTCAAGTTTCTTCTTAAGCACCCATGAAAACGCTTGTGCTATAGAGTGAGATAGAAAATTAGAACATAAGGGCATATTTTGAAAGAGAGATAATGAGTTCAGATGGAGGTGTGCTGAGTTGAATATAAATTAGAGCACCTCCTGAGGGTGACTTAAAGGTAACTAAATCTCTTGTTCTCAAAAAGAAAATACAGACTGTAGCTATACATTTTGGAGTTCCTAACAAGGAGATTATAATGGCACCCAATGGGAGTGCATGAGATCCCCAATAAAGGTCACATATAAAGTGAAAAGAGAAGAGGAATCAAGTTTAGAATCTTTGGATGCATCAATCTTTAGGGAAAGTTGAATAATAAGAGCCATGTAAGGAAACTGAAAAACAATGGTCAAATAGAAGAATACTAGAGTAGACGGAAAGATAATAAACATTTTGGTAAAATAGAAAGAGAATTATGCACCCCCCTCCTAAATAAGTTTTACATAGTCATACAACTTGCTTGGCCAATGAAAAATGACTGGAACCGGTATATGTCACTTCCAAGAGTTAACCGTTGGTTCACCAAATTCTTTTCCCCGTGGCCATAATTGAAAATGCTTGAGAAAAGGACTGTTCTATCAGTTCTGGTTACAGCATTTAGACCATGTGGAACAGAGCTATAGCTAACCAAAGATGACCATATAGTGTCATAAAAAAAGAGTGAGATGTTGTATATATATAAGCCACTGAGACTTGGGTTATTTATTACTACAGCTGTTCAGATGGGCAACCTAATCTATTATTACAGATGCAGGTAAGATGAGGAAATAAAACAGGAAGTTTTACAAAGTGCAACTACTCTAATTGAAAACAAAACAAAACAAAAAACGGGGGTCAAGAAATGGTAGAGGGCCGGCCCAGTGGCGCACTGCTACAAAGCACCACTTGGGAGCGCAGCGGTGCTCCCACCGGGGGTTCGGATCCCACGTACAGACCGGCTGCTCACTGGCTGAGCGAGGGGCGGGCGTGAAGGGGTCAAGAAATGGTAGAGGGCCGGCCCAGTGGCGCACTGCTACAAAGCACCACTTGGGAGCGCAGCGGCGCTCCCACCGGGGGTTCGGATCCCACGTACAGACCGGCTGCTCACTGGCTGAGCGAGGTGCGGGCGTGATGCCGAGGGTTGCGATCCCGTTGCCGGTCCCGGTCCGGTAACGGGCGTGACACTGAGGGTTGCGATCTGTTGCCGGTCACGAAAAAAGACAAAAAGGAAAAAAAAAAAAGAAATGGTAGAAAATTAAGATAGTATCCATAAAGGAGGTGACATTTAATGTTGTATTACTCAGGATCAAACCACGAAGCAGAACCTACTCTCAGTACTTAGAACAGAAGGAGTAATGCAAATTAAATAGATGCTAGAAGAGCTAAAAAGTCAACAAGGTGATAGTGAGACAATCCAAAAACTAACAACAGTGGGGAGCCACCAACAACCTCAAATGGAGAGGGAAAGAAAAGAGGTGGTATAACCTGAGCCCAGAGGCTGGAGTCACCTGGCAAAAGCTAGAACCAATGCAGACCAATCCAACAGGACCAGAAGCCTCAAGCATGGTGCACCCACTTTCAGAGGCTTCTCCCAAATAGAGAGGCAGAGGGAACATACAATGTTTTTCCTCTTTTCCTACCTCCTATTGACTGCCTAGGCCTCCCAGAGACAGAACCCAGCCCAATTGTCAGACATCCTGGGACCCTGAGAAATGCAACCTGCAGCAATCAGCATCATTCCCCATTTCCTCCTCCTACACAGAGCAAAGCAGAGCATGGGGAGGGGAGGGAATGGATCGAGGGCAAACAGTCTCAAGACTGGCACAGGCCCAGGTCTGAAGGCAGACAGCGGCAGACATTGTAGGAAGGAAGAAACCTGATTTTTCACTAAGCTGTTAAGAGTGTTAGCAGGAAAGGGATTTAGCTATCTGTTCAGTGTGGCTGGGGCTGGCACACAGGTGAAGAAAGGCATATTAGTAAGACTAAAGATGTAGCAAAGGTCGGGTCGTGAAGGTCCTTTATGCCATGATCAGGAGCTTGAAATCTACTCTGTAGGTGGTCAGGATATAACCAGAATTATGCCTTGGAAAGATAATTTTGGCATCTCTGTTGATGAAAGAATGGAGGAAAGAAAAGGATAGTTCATAACCCACTTGCCTAAGGAGGATGTTGTAAAGGCCTAACTTGGTAGAAAGGTCTGTGAACGCTGTTGAATGGCCCTACTAGAACCACAGACTTAATAGAAATGAGCATTCTGGTGACACAGACTCCAAACCAATGAAGTTAGTAAGACTCTAGTCTTGTCAAACAATACTTTGAAAACATTTTTTTAAATTTAAAAATTCCTTTAAAATTCGGGGAATAGGAGAGTGAGGGGTCTAGAAATGCTGTCAGGTAAAAAACCGTTGAAAAATTGGAGATCTTTAACTTTAATATGAGAAAAGGAATGTTTGTCTTACTTAAAATGCGAGGTTATCTTTATAACATGAAGCCCTCTTGAGTTTATAACGCAAGAAGGAAATTATCTAGCTAGTCTCATCTGAATAGAGCCCCCAGAAATAAAAACTGAACAAACTGAAAATCTGTTCATTGCTTTATTCACTCTCGTCAGGGTCACTACAGTTTAGGACATTTAGGCTACGGATGGCAGAACGAGTTTCAGCCAGGAAAACTTCCAGGGCTTCCTTCTTCCACTTCTGTCTGCGCACCCTCTTTCTCCTGGCGTCACACCAGGTGTGACAGGGCTTCCTGAAAGGCAAGAGAGCAACAACAAAAACAAGAGCAGCTTACATGTGACTGACATGTTTCAAACAATCCTCACTTTTTCTATCCTGTTTAGCCACCATTATACTGATGGGAAAACAAATGCTCAGTGGTTAAGTCCCGTCCAGAATCACAAGGCCAGTCCATGGTAAAGGGACATCTAGAATATGGGTTTCTGTCACTCAAAATTTTTTTCTAAAAATGTAGAAATTCTGCTCTCCTTGAGATTCCAGGATATGCAAATTTTATATGAGTACCATCCGTAAAGGGAAATACATGTTTACCACTGAGAATGGGGGGATAGGTGTTCAGGGTGGCTAAGCCCTCCCCCTTGGTGAATTAGCCCCACAAGCTGTAGTTACCAGAAGCTTCTTTACTGCTTCAGAAGCCTCTGGTCCCAGCTCATTCACACACTTCCTGAGCCCTTCCACAAGGTGCTCAACAGAAATGCCCAGAGTCTTCAGAAGAAGCTTCAAGGGGTCTATGATGGGAAGAACATTGTCCAGAGGCAAAGGTAACACTTTGTCGACAGGAAGGGGTACACTGTTGAGGAGAAAGGCAGTAGCTGCAGGGCAAAGAGAAACCAGATGAAACAGGCACATCCAGCTCCCATCTGTGACCTCATCTCCTTCCACTCTGCCCATCAGTAGCTCCTTTCCAGACTCACTATCTTCATTTCCTTGAAAACTTCTGCCTCTGGGCCTTTGCACCTACTGTTCCATCTCCCTGGGACTTTATTTCCCCAGATAGCTACACATCTTTCTCTCTTCAAATGTTACCTCCTCAGAGAAACCTTACCCTCTATCCTTCTTTATTTATTCTTTTACCATTTCCCAAAATATCAAATCTTTCTTTTTTATTTTTATTTCCTTCATCCTCTCATTAGAAGGCAGGCTCCATGAAAACAAGGAGTTGTTCACTACTGTACCCCATGCCTAGAACTGACCCTGGCATACAATAAGCACTCCATAGATACTGGTGGTTGAGTAAATAAGGAAGGTACTTTGTATGTGCCTATCTTCACAGTCCATATCTTTGAGGCCAAAGGAGAGACACCATAATGAATCCCCACTCAAGAATGGACTCAACCACAGCCCAGGAAACTGCTCCCAACCAATTCAACTCAATGCTATAAACATAATCGAATACCAGCTCTATGCCAGTTGGTGCAGATACATAGACAAATAAGGGAAGGATTCTCCATGAAGAGACCTCACACAGTCTCGTAGACAATAAAGATCTATGTATGCCACAATGTGGCATGTGCTATGTTAAACATTATGGGCAAAGCTCTATGGAAACACAATAGAAAGGGTGACTAATTCTAATGGCGGAAAGTGTTGCCAGAATCTTCCCTTCAAAGTGTTATTAGAGCTGTGTCTTGAGATAAACTTTGGGATCACAGGGTAAAGAAGAGGGGCAGCATTTTGGAAACAAGATCAATAAAGGCACTGAGGAAAGGGTGACTAATTCTAATGGTGGAAAGTGTTGCCAGAATCTTCCCTTCAAAGTGTTATTAGAGCTGTGTCTTGAGATAAACATTGGGATCACAGGGTAAAGAAGAGGGGCAGCATTTTGGAAACAAGATCAATAAAGGCACTGAGTTGCTAAGATGAAAGTGCACACACAGAATGGTCAGCCTTCTGCCCAGAGAGGCTGGAGTGCAGGACTCCAGTGGGCTAAGGCCAGGGTGTGGAAGATAAAGAGGGTGAGGCTGCAAAAATTGGGTAAGATCAGATTTTTGAAAGCTTTGGGTGCCGTACCAATCAGTGTGCAATTTTTCCTGAGGGCAATTGGCAGCTATCATGGCTTTTACATAAGACACTTGCATTTTATCTCTTTGGCTTTAGAAAGATAACATAGAGGACAAATTGGAGGAAACGAGTAGAGATTGGGAAAGATATGCATGAATATTTTTACAAAAATGTGTAGCAGATAGATAAATGCACATGTACATGAACACACACAGAAGAACACGCTTCCCCCTACTGGC